AATGTGTAGCTTTAGGGCTGGAGATACCTGCAGAGAGGACAAACTAAATAAGAGAGGAAACATAAAGTTGATGGAGAATAGTGGTGAGGTGCTCAGTGCATCATGGGAAGCCCTCCAGCAGGCCTATAGCAGCATAACTAAGGGATGGCTCCGGTGAATCTGAGCCAGGCCTCACTGTAAACTCAAAAATGAGCATTTTAAGCATCTTAAAAGCAGAGAAGGTGGTTGCCTTCTGAACACAAGCTGTTAGCTGATCCATCAGGCGTTGATGAGAAAATCAACACGTCCTTCTGGATTGTGGCAGAGTTGAAGCAAACTGTTGTGAAATGGAAACACTTCAATAAAGTACAAGTATCTCTAATGTACTTAACAAATATACTAAACTATACAGCACCACAAATTACTGAGTTTATCTGTGATTTAATTTTTTTTTCATTGTCAGTCTTTCTGTTTTAAACAAAGTCTGTAGAGGTTGAGAACAAAGCAAGAAAAGATAATTCCAGTAGGTGGCAATGCACCCTCAACTATTGTCCCTCTCGGTCTGGTTAGTATAGTGTATACATTGATTATGGCAGCGCTGGGTCACAATAAAATGAGGTTTAATAACAAGGGGCACCAGAGCGCTCGATACACTTGTTAACAATCTGTCAGGATAAATAGATAGACAATGACAGAGTACACACTGAACACACAATGGAGAATAATAAGGAAGGCTTACACACATGAATGACAAACAGCAGTTTAATCATTGACGTCTCCTGTAGATGAAGGAGGGCGTCGGTTTATAAGAGAGATCTCAGCACAAACTGCAGCTACTCTAGTAAGCATTACTAGGTTGAACTCTTTGGCAGTAACTGACTGGCTGATGTCTGTGAGCCACAGATTTCAGCAAACATTTAGGATATTTCCTGTTTGTTCTCAGGCTTGTTTGTGAGTTTATTCAGCCTGTACTGCAGCCATCTTCATCTTCTTCCCTGTTTAACAGGCTTTTTGCCTTCAGTCTCAGTCGACTGCTCAGTAAAACAGATGTTCACTTTGAGGACTGAAATGCTCGGTTAAAAACCTCTCAGCCTCGGAAAACTCCACATTTGCTTTGGCCATATTCTGTTTGGAATATTTGCTTTCTGCATAGTCTCACTGACACTAAAATGTTGATATGAACACCATCCAAAGTGCTTGAACAGAGCTACAACAACTGTCATAATAGTTTCTGAGCACACTGTGCGTTCCCCGTGTCTTCATCAGAACATGCTGAACTGCTTCATTAGAACAATGCAGTGTTGCTGCTTCGTACCGACAGTTTAATAGAATAGAATAAAACTTTATTGATCCCTTCAGTGTAAAACCTCAGGGAAATTGTTGTACTAGAAAAAACAACACAACACCAACACAAAATCGGCTGAACTCACTGTAAGAGCTCTACACAGAGTAGATATTCAGTGGTTTGTTTCTACACTTTCCACACTGTAGATGGATGCAATGATGCCAAACACCTCCAAAGCTGTAAAGGCAAATAGCAGAAGATTTTTTTGTTATTTAATCAGTACTCTTCTGTAAATACACATACACACATAAATACCAGCTGGATCAGTTTGTTCTAAAATGTGTGTGTACAGCATCACATTACCGGAGCCATAAATCCAGTGTTTTCTGATTGTAATGCTGTGAAATTAAATGAGCAAATGGATTGCTACATTTTTAAAGAGCACCAGGAAATCCTGCACAATACGCCCTATCAGCTTTCAAGTAATCAATGTATGAAGAACATGAGGGAAGATGTCAATATCCAGGTCAGCTCAGGCGTCACATTGCTGACTCTGCTCGCTGAAATGACTCTGATGAACCTCCCCTCTGTTATTCCAGTCTATACTGGGGACCTCTTCTGCCCTGGTAAGGCCTTCAGTCTCACCCCGTTGTGCTGTGAAACGCTGTCTTCTGAAAGTTTCTGTGGGTCTGACAGGGCTGTGCTCTCTAATTGAGGGATATTCTGGTTGCTGTGGATGGCGCTGCCTCTGCAGTGACAAGCAGCCGCTACACAACAATGTGCAGCGGTGACTGGTGCCTCATTGTCCTGATTCCACCGATTCAAAACAAGGCCTCTGTTTAATTGTGGTGTGTGGCGCTTTGTTATCAGATCGGCATACAAACATCATCATCTCTCCCTCATAGTCCGTCCTGAGCCTGAAGGAACTCCATATTTGGCTGCAGCATTCACAAAGCATTTAAACATTTGTTGTGTACACATTTGGCTGGATGCCCCATTTGACGTAATTTTAGACCTTGCACACAAAAGGAAGCTTTAGCTTAGAAAAGATGCACATAATAGGCCTTATTTAGTCTTTCTGTCCCTTTCATATGACACTCCATCAAGTGCACACTGCATGATTGAGCATCCACTGCACCTGTCTAAGCCATATTTGCTTTGAGTCCAAACAATTTAAGTTTCCCTGGACTGAGCTGAAACTGTTTCTCAACAAACTTATTGT